TGTCACAACGGAGGAGGGCTGTTTCGACACCCTTTCCACTAATCAATACACGTTCTGCTGTTATGGAGTGAGTGCCTGCATCATCGTTCCACGCACTCTACCTGCTTGTGCTAATCTACCAAAAAAAGACCAAAAGTCACACAAGGATAGAATCTATCCCTGTATATACAGAGACTGCTTCTCCCACCTTTGACATGCAGCCACTTCTGGGTCCTTGTGTGCCTGCAATGCCACACAACAGTTTTGAAGAAAAAGGTGTAGCAGGATCTAAGCTGCTCTCTACACACTTGCTATCTGCAGCTCTTCTGGCTGGTTGCTAAAAAGACTCTCACTGTGTAGGACACCTCCCATGGGGCTCCTGTTTCTTGTCTTGTATCACTCCCAGGCCTCAGGGCAGCAGTCAGGCTCTGTCTTGGGGGAATGTAAGGATGAGTCTGTGAGGCAGCACTAGGGCCCACTCTAAACCATTCTGACTCCCAAACCATCCACTCTGCCAAACTGCGGACCTCGTGGGTGCTTGTACAGGAACAAGGGTCTAGGGCTTATATTGTCAGTGGCAGTTCCAGGGCTGGCAGGGAGGCTGTTCAGACAGGCCCTGAGAAGCATAATGCTCCTTGAGGATCCTAGATTGCACTTGGCAGGCTGTTGTAATTTTTTCAGGATGCAGTTTACTCCCCTCCTATGCCCTGCCACCTCCATGTGTCAGTACCTGCAGCATGGTGTATACAGGAAGGGCTGTGCAGTAGGGAGCCAGATACCTCTTAGCCCTTGCCTGCTGTGGGAAGTGAATATTGCGCCAGCTGTATGGTTCCTTGAGACCTTGAAGCCAACATTTACGTGTCTCCTAACATAATCTGTGCAATGGAAGATGCAACTTTCTTACTCCCCTGCAACACTGCACTAGAGCTAATCATAATCTAGCCATGACTAAGTATATTTTACTCATATGAGTAGCTTCAGTGTCTTCAGTGGGAACAAAGGCTGTAGAAACAGGCTCTAAAATTGTCCTTTGACTGACCCGAATCATATGAAATAAACAGTCTATATGCATTAATAACTAGAGGGGCTCTGTGTATGGATAACTATATGGATTGCTCACAGGATCCTTCTTGTAGGTCACTAGTAAGAATACATGGCAGAGCCTGGGTAGCAAAACACAACAAACTAATGCAGATGGATATTGGGGATCTCACATGTGTAGGGAGTATTCTGTGGGAAGTGCAGGCAATGCCATTCTGGAAACAAGGGAGGTGAAGGGAACTTGCAGCTAGAGGAGTTTCATTTCAATTGAACTTAGGAAAACTCTGAGGAAATGTATGTTGTTCTCAGTGGATCACCCCCAGAAAGCTTCCCAACCATCCATACATGGAACAACAGCTGGTAACTGGGATTACATCAGCCTTGTACAACTTCATGCAACTCTTAAAATTATCATTTACCCTGCTATGATCATGGCTAGGATGGCTAAGTACTTTTTGTACCTAGTTTGGTACACTAACAATCTTGTCAGACTAGTCCAGGCCAATAAATGTGTCTGGTGACATTCACAATAGTGACGTGACCCTCTACAGATGGATAAATGTTGCCCTCATGTCTGTAGTTCTGTTTGGGGTGAATATTAATATGCAGTTAAGCAAATGGCACTCCCATACTCAGCTCGCAAAGAACTTTTTTCCAGCTACTCAGCTGGTCTAATAAAAGATATCACATCTACGCAAAGAACCTTGCCTGCCTGTGTCCTTAGACCAACACGGCTACAACCAAAACCCCAGCACTCCCGTACTTGTAGCAGACAGCATGAACTGTGGTTAGGAAAGAACACTGTTTCTGCCACTGGTGTGGGAAGCATTGCCACTATATAATTTACAGAAACTCCCTTAGCCCAGCCTTAACATCTGTAAAACAGGTACAACAGATGTCTGGGACCCGCTGGAACAGACGGGCTCCTCTGTACAGGATGTACTGCAGGGCTCGGTTTGGATACTGCCGATACCAGGAGTGACAGACATTATTGTAGCTGGTGCTGTAGGACACAATACTCACCTACTGCCCAGGGATGCATGAGGCTCACCGAACTAGTATTTTCAAAGTGCTCTGAGACTTCCAGTAAAAATAAAATCCAGCTAACTGCAGAGAACCTCATTGCAACCCTTCAGTGCCCTCATCCAGCCTCTTGTTGGAATATCAAGAGCAAATGCCAGAGGATTGCAGGCTGCACTGGAAGAAGCAATCCTCTGCACCCAAGCCCAGAGCTGGTCAACAGCCACCGCAGCAGACCTCACCGTCCTAGTTTCCTCCTCACCCCTCCCCAAGTATCCTGCTGGGCTGGGAGTCTCCCAGAGCCATGAAGGGGATACACGTGGCCTTGAGTCTAGGCTATGCTTTTATACAGGAAAACTATAGCACTTCTGTTACAACGGAAACTCTGTGGCCATAGAGGTGAGGGTTGTTCATTGGTGCATAACATTATTATTATTACTCATAATCTACACCATGTTTAGTATAATGGACTATAATGGACTAAAACCAATCAAGGTCAGTGCTGGGACAAGTCTTCTCAGAAGTCACCCATGCACAGAGGGGCAGCATGAGGGCTACTGCACCTAGGAAGCTTCCAGCTCTTTGGGCACTGGGCTTTAAGTGGGACCTAGGTGACACACAGGTCTTGCCCCAGCTCCCTTCCACCCAGTCAGAATACTGAAATGAGCAGAAATGCCTTTTTTGAGTAAGAATTGCAGGATCCAGGCTCTTTTTACCTCTTCTCCCACAGTGCAAAACACCCGTTTCTTTTTGGTAATAACTCAAGCACAGAAAAGGATTCTGACAGGGGAAAGATCCGTCTGATTTAAACAAGCATGAGATACTGGAAATGTTGCTTCTGCCAATGCCATATGATTTAAAAAGGAGATAATGCAGAGGGTTGAGGGATTTTTTTAATGAAATCCTAAATATAGCGAGTGCACAGTTGAGAAATGCAGCAGTTTTAAAACCTCCTCTGCAGTTAACTAAAATTGATCTCCTTAACGCGCTAAAAATAGAAAGGAGGTGGGGGGGAGGGAGAGGAAACAATGACTTTTCATATTGTTCCCTGCAGGCTCCTTAAACAAGGGCGAATATGACCTTCATGCATTGCTGTCCCAGAGTGCAGAATAATGAGTGATATTTCACATTTCAGTGCTCCAGAACAGGAATTGATTTATTACCCAGCTAGCTGGAGGATTCGTTTACATGTTTCCATTTATAATGCTGCTGAAGCCAGGAGAAAGGAGGGCTCTTTGTTTTCCTGGTATTCAGCAGTTTAGAGGCATAAAGCTTGATTCTGAGAATAATGCTCTGTATTACAGTAAGAAGCACTGGACCTAATCATCCCATCCTGCGGGAAAGCCCATGTGATGGGGCTGAGACAGGGGATCTCTGGGTGCTTTTCCAGCTGAAGATTTCCTCCATGCTGTTCCATCAGAACTAAGGACATGCACGGACTGGGCTCTCACTTAAAAACATCATGGGATGGTCCCATAAGCTTCATGGATCTTGAAGGGGACCAGCCGTCTGCTGTCCCATCCCCTCCCTCTAGGAACTCCTCTCTCATCTGTCAGGACTTCTTCAGCTGGCAGCCATACAGCAAAGAGGTCCCCCCTGTACAGATGAGCATGAAACGCTTCTTTTGCCCTCGGAGCAGTTTCTGAAGTTTGGACATTTTCTCCTGCATTGACTCAGGCAGGAGGAAATGTTCAGAGGGTTAAAAAGTTGACCCTCAGAAACTTTCAAAACTAAAAATTAGGCAGGGAAATTAAATCAGGTCAATCAAAACAATTTTGTTTAGATAATGTATATATTTTTATTTTGTCAATATTTTAAGGTTTATAATAAATTATAATAAGCTTCATAATTTAACTGCCTAAATAACAGTTTACTCTCTAAAAATAGAATTTTTTCGTTTTGAAGATATTGAAATGGGTTATTTCAACAACTTCAAAATTTGTTTCAGTTTTTTTGAAAAGGGAAATTGGGCTTGATCTGGGAACGTGTTTGGTCTCCACAAACTGGGATTTTGTAATGGAAAACACCAGGTTAAAAATTTCCTGACTAGCCCTCACCCACCACACGGATGGGAGGACCTACTTCCATTACATACCTATTCACTGTCATCTGACTCTTACTTCCAGGAGTCTCTAATTGTCTAATTGTCTCCATTCATTTCATCTTGCTTCTTTGAGCAACCCCATAGGCAAGCCCCACAGCCCCACTCCTGAAAGTGGGGTGTGCGTTTTTCTGTCTGTGGGCTCAGTCCTGCAAGGATCCCTCTGTCCATGCTGAGAGGTCAGAGTGCTTAAGAAGCATTCAGCAGCTAGCAGAACTTGTCAGAAAGAAAACATATAAGTGTTGCCTTTGGTCACTGTATACCACATTAACTCAAATCCAAGACAAGCCCCTCCTTCAGCATGAGGAAAAAAGCCCCTTGTCTTAGATTTGTGTACAAGGCAGACGGTGCAAAGGGAGCATGACTGAGTCTGGGCCAGGCGGAGACACAGCAGCCACCTACCCCTCCCTGCTTGCTCTCTAAAGCCCCCCACCCTACAGCCTCTGCCCTCTCCCCTCCCTTTCCTCTTAGGCATGATCCAGCTCCACTCACTGCTGGGGAGCAGCGCACATGGGCACTGCATGCCCTGCCTGACGCATCAGCAGTTGCACAGCTCTGGGACCAGGACACTCCTGCATGGCCAGGCAGAGGCCACGCTTTCACGTGCTCTATACCTGGGAGGGAACAGAGCGGGAGCCATGTCGACAGTAGTGGGGATGGAAAGGGAGCAGAAAGTCTGTGGGGAGCAGTGGGGGAAGAGGCTGCAGGGGGGTAGGCACTGTGGGGGGTGGGGCAGGCTGCAGGGGGAAGAAGTGTGGGGGGCGGAGGGCAAGGGGGGCTGCCTGACATTATTAACTCTTTGCCCTATTTTTGATCTGCTTGTTGATGCATTCCCACACAAGAAAGCCACAAGCCTTACCTGGTCCTAGTTTAGAAACTGCATAAAGGAGGTCATAGTTGATGACAGGTGTTGCGTCATCTATTGGTTGCCATCCTACAGGAGGAGAGGCCGGAGGGGAGATGAGAAACTGTTTTGCAGGCTGTGGTGGAGCCAAATGAAGCTTGTCCCCATCTGTCTCAGAGGTCTGGACCTTTGGAGTGTAATAGAAACAGAGGTTTGTTGCTTATGTTAAGGTCTGTAAGTAAAGTGATGGTTGAATGATGATTATATAGTGTCACAAACTTCTAATGACAGATATTATTGTTTGGTGTGATCTGTGAAATTAGCTGGTGGGTCTTAATCTAGATTCCTGAAGACAGGTGTCCACACCAGAGAGATCCTCACCCCAAGCAGCACCCTTACTGGCAGTCTCAGCAGGCAGGGCGAGGACTGAGTGGTGGGCCTGGGAACTGAATGTAATCTCATCCTTACAGGTGGAAGGCACAATGAAAGGGGCAGTGTAAGTCTGCAGTGTCCCAGGCCACCGAATACGCTCTGAAGATATATGCAGGATTTCAACCTCCAAGCTGTGGATTCACATTTCAAAGGTCAGAAGGGGCCAGTCTGATGTCTTGTATAACCTAAGACAGGGCCAGAACAGCTTGGCTCTGGTTCAGCATGGGCTGGGTGGCTTTGGCAGTGTGTCAGTGGTAGGGGGCTTTCCCTGCACCCAAACTGAGGCCATACAGCTGGGAGCTGTGCCTGCGCCACTGCCACTTCCCCCAGCCTCCTGCTCCCCAGATGCTGCAAAGGTGCAGCTTCTAACCAGTGGGGAGCTGTGCTGGAACCAGGCATCTGCAAACCACGTCCGTGCTGCTGCCACTTCTACCCCAATCTCCCCCAGCCCTGTCCCCACACTGCGCCACAGACACAGCTGGAAGCTGCCCAGCCCCAATGCAGCTTCATCAGCTGGAAGCTGTACCCATGCTGCAGCTGGGTGGATGTAATTTGTAGGTGCCTGGGGAGCCTGACTGTAGCCCAGCAATTATAGTACTCATGTGGGAGATAGGATATCATTGTCCTAATACCTACTGCAAGGACTACTTCAGTTTTTGATCTAACAACTAGGGCTGTCAAACGATCAAAAAATTTTGATCACGATTAGTTGTGCAATTGAAAAAATTATTAATCCTGATTTTAATCGCACAGCTAAAAACTCAAAATTATGCACAGAAAAACTCAAAGTTATGCAAAATTATGCAGGTATTTTGTATAGTTGGGGGATGGGTGTGGAAGGGAGGTTGGCGGGGGGACTGTGGGTGTGTGTGGGGGGTTTGGAGCCCAGGGAGGGGGATTCCCACAAAACTTGGGTAGACCGCGGGGCACTGTGGGTCAGGAGTCAGGGGCAGCAGCAGGGCTAGGAGGGCTGTGGCTTGGGAGTGAGGGGCAGGCAGACAGACAGACACACACACACACACCGCCCAGCAGGTAAGTGTATGAAAGGGAAGGGGTGTGGGGGAGGGAAGGACAGATCGAGGCCCCCATGGTGAGAGAGGGAGTGGGGCAGAGGCAGGGACTGGGGTGAATGGGGCCTCAGGGCAGGTTGTGGGACAGTCGGAGTTGGGGATATCTAGAGATGCGGGGGGCTCCTACCGCTATGTGCAACCAGGGGAAGGCATGGGGGTCATGTGCCCCCCATATTTGTGCATGGGACGAAGGTGGGCTGCCACCATGGGACAGGGCTCTGAGCGGGGCATCCCTGCTGCTGTTCCCCAGGAGCCATGCAATGCCACATGCCTACCGCTGCCGGGCAGGCAGGGGACGTGGCACAGCTAGTGCATGGCTCCTGGGGCAAAGGCAGCAGGGTGCAGAGCCCCAGCCCGCAGCCTGCCTCTGCCCTGTGCACAAATCAGGGAGGCACATGCCCCCCATGTCCCCCCCTGGAATGCACGCACCAGTGGGAGCCGGCCCACAGCTCTGACCATCCCATGACCCACCCTGGGTTCCCATTCACCCCAATCTCTGCCTCACTCCCTCTCCAACCATGGGGGCCTCAATCTGCCCCCCATGCTCTTCCCTCCCCTGCGCCCCTTCCCCTTCACACACTCAACTGCTGGGCACTCTTCCATACGCTGCTGGGCTGTGTTCCTGGCCCCCTGCAGGCAGCGGCGGCATGTCTGCATCTGTGTGCGCCCCTCCCCCTGCTGCAGCTGACCAGAGCACGCACCTGGGCTGCTCTGCAGTTCTCTGGGCAGCTATCACTGTCCCTTGGGATGGCCTGGTGGTGGCAGTGACAGCAATGGAGTAGAGCCTAGGTATGGCCTCCAAAACCATGTGCACTATTAATGCATTAAAAACATTAACACGAACAACAATTAATGCATTAACTGTGATTAATAGACAGCCCTACTAATAATTTGACATTAATAACTAGTTAATTTAAGTGCCTAAACAGCCACTAGCCACTAAATTACAGGCAACCCCCACTTAGTGCTCTTAATTGGTTCCTGAAAAGCCAAGCATTAAACAAAATTAGCGTTAAGTGAAACTGAAAGTTTTTAATGACCCAAGATGGCAACTGCGGGCATTTAACAAAACTCACCAAGGGCTAAGCGGCATCAGCTATCAATTTAAAATGACACATAGTGAAATAGTGCTAAGCAAAACAGTGTTAAGCAGGGGTTGCCCGTAGTTTATAAAAGTGTTGCATCCGCATCTATTTTAAAAGGGATGATTTAGGAACCTACATCCAAGAGAAGTTGGGGCATGAATCCCAATCCAATATAGCTTCCTCTCAGTAGTCCAGAGCTACGTGTCTTAAGACCCACCCCTCTTCAGCATTTCCTATTGCCTAGTTTAAACTCTACACTGAGTTTGTAGGTTCAGTACGGAGCTGAGAAAATTGCAGCATCTTATAGGAACATTTTTATGACCACAAAAAACAAAGAACCAAATTCTGCTAATTGATATTAATTTCATTCAGTTTTACTAGACTATGTTTCTGCACCTATGCAATAGTGAAAAGAAACCACCCCAATAATGGTGTAATAAGAGAAAGGATTTCAAGTCAAAAGGTTTTTACCTGTGCGAAGTATAGCTTTAGCTTTTTCCCTCTGAACTGTGTTTCATGCAGCTCTATCCTAGCACGAGCAGCTGAGTTAGGACTACTGAAGTTTATCCGCACACGCCTGAAGCTTTTAAACAGCTGGAAAGTCACACAGTCATCGTAGGCACGGAACAAGCCCTCAAATTTCTCCTGCAAATAAAAAACTTCGGTCAAATTACGGAGTAACTTTTCTTAATATCAAATCTATGCGACTGTGACTGTCATGGGAACTTTTAAAAGTCAAAGTGAAAAAGATAAAAAATTGCAATTTACACTCATAATTGTGACCTCATTTACATGAGTATAAATCAATCCAAAGGAATTGCATCAGAGCAGGCAAGCATTGAACTAGGCTCAGAGTAACTTAGGCCTAGATCCACAGAAGGATTTAAGTGCCTAAAGTAGGATACAGGTATGATTTAGATTGGTGGAGGCCAACCTATTTTATCAGGCATGCCACAAATTAGCCCCTCATCCTCCCCAAGTGCCACTCCAATCTCCAACTGATTGCTTTGTTTTCTGCCCCCTGTCCTGTACTTCCTACCCAGTCTGCTCCTGACCTGTGCCCCTTGCCCAACCTGCTGCTTTGCTTTTTGCTTCTTGCCCTATCTGCCACTGTGCTGCCCGTTCCCTCCCCCATCTGTTGTTTGCCCCACAAACATTTCCTGTGCCACTTGGCACACGTGCTGCAAGTCGGCCACCTTCATTTAGATCATGTCTGCACTCTGCTCAGATATGCTATGCTGCTCCATGTGTGCCACCTCCTGAAGTAGTGTAGCCACATTTCCGTGGCGTTTGCAGGTATGCTAATTAGCACGGTTGAGAGGCAGAGCTGATTAGCCTGCCCCAATCACTGCTTATGCATGTTATATTGAAAAGTCATTGGATAAAATAAATGAACAGTCTGTGAGCAGCATCCTGTGGAAGCAGCATTTCAGAGGAGAATGCCCTCAATATATACCACCTCTCTCCCTCTCTTACTTTCTCCACAATCAAGCGGTAAAGCGGGGTGGGGTGGGTTCAGTAGGGCTGGAGTGCTGTTGTATCCATGATGGATCAGAAAATGTATGAGACGCAAGGATTTTTTGTGATACCTTGTATTAGAACAACTGTATAGTTGGGAGAGACGTCTGACAAGCTTTCAGGCACAGACAGTCCTTCTTCTGGTTGGGGAGAGAACAGATTTTTTTTATATCATTAGGACTAGTCAAGGCCAAAATCTCAGACTGGACTAAATACCAGAACCGTCAGCATTCTCTTACAAGTTCAAGCTTCTCATGTATACTTTGATCCTGCAAGAGGAGTGCTCTAAAAAGATTTTAATACAGGACCTGATCCTTTACTGGCTGGCACTTTTTCCATCCAGTTTGTTCAGGTGCAAATGGCTGTGCAACAGCAGTATTTTGATGTGTCAGACAGGACAATTCAGGCTTTCAACCTGGATCTTGATAGCTCAAAAGTTTCAAGACACGTGATATTAGTGCACTGTAAAATAAGAATCTTACCACAAAAGTATGAATGGACGCTTGGGTCATTTTTACAAGTGCTCTGTGACTTTAAGTAGAGTGACTCCAAGAGCCGCTCTAATTCAAGGGCCTGCAGTCTCTCATGCATCAGTGTTCCCATGCTTCAAAATAGCGGCAGGGGCACTTTAACTAAAGCTTGTCGCATCAGCTTTAGTTAAATTGCCCCTGCCACCATTTTGAAGCATGGGAGAGCTGATACACAAGATGCAGAGGCTTAATGAAGTGTGATAATTAGCAAGCTCCAGCAGACTTGATTAATCGAATCTGCTCTGACGCGCTGTAATTACAGCGTGTCGGAGCAGCTTCCCTGCACTTCTACAGGCAACCTGAGGTTCCCGTACTGAAATCAATGAGAATCCCAAGTATCCTAGAACTTTACAAAATCTGTAAAATCTAGAAATTGTGTGTGCATTCAAGGCTATTTTGAGATCACCATAGGCCAGTAAAGCCCTTAATCAATACTGACATTACTTGCTTATTGTCTTTTATAGAGGTAGGGATTCAGAAACTTTAAGGCAAGAAGGAACCATTGTGACTATCTAGTCTGACCTCCTGTGTAACTCAAGCCACAGAACCCCACCAGCAATTCCTACATCCAGGCTATAACTTGCAGAGAATTATAGTGTCTCTTCCAGAAATACCTCCAATTTTGATTTTAAGATTTCAAGTGATACAGAACTTATAACATCAGTTGATACACAGAATAGTATATCCTCCTGCCACAGGAGAAGAATTGTGACTATTTTGGATTAAGCAGGAGTTAAGAAATTAGTCCCAGTTTATTTCCATATGTCATAATTTTACACACAGGACAACACATATCAGGTGGAAAACACTGTATAGTATGATCATAATACTCTGACTTTGGTTGTGATACACCTATATTTTCTCCAGTTGAAATAAGTATTTTCTTTCAACTTCTCTAGCTTTAATCGGCCAAAACAATCCCCGAGTCCTTCGAGGAGATAACTAGAAAAGACCACAGATGACATGGGGGGCGGAAAAAAAAATCAATGGCTATACCGTATTTACCGAGATATAAGATGAGGCTCCCCTCCCCATTCAACATGGGGAAAAAGCCCCGCATATTAGAGTACAAATATCAGAGGGAAACAGCAGCAGCTGCAGCTCTGACTCTGACCCTGAGCTGCGACCACTGTCCCCCGCAGCCTCTGCTCCCCTGCTGAAGGGACGAAGGGACAAATTTAAGATGACCCTCCAAATATTAGATTTTAGACTTAGAAATGATTATAACAAATTTATAATCTAATTCATTAAATGTATTTACAATCTAATTTAATATAATTTATAATTAATCCATAATCTAATTATTAGGGGCTAAATTCCGAGTTATGCTGGATTTGGGCAAATCTGGGGAGGTATTAGCACCCTGGTCCTGATGTGTCAGTGTATGGGAGTGCAGGACTGCAGCACTCAGAACAAAGCCCTTTGCAGCAGGAGGAGGAGGAGGAGCTGCAGCATGGTGCGAACTCCTGCCATCACTCAAATAAGCCTCTTAAAGGAAGAGCTGAAGCTTAGGAGAGGGCGATTGACTTCTTTTTCTTTAATTTTTGAACTAAGGGAAAGGAGACGGGAGAGGGGGCTGGACCCAATGACCTGTAAGGTCCCTTCTAGCCCCTGACTACAAAACTGTGAAACATGAAATTTTCTCTACTGTGTCTCTGAAAACGTCTCTCCTATGGGTGACGGCTCATACTAGACCGCGCTCCGCCACCCAACTTGTGGCTTCTTTGCATTGTTTTGCTCAGACGGGGAAGTGGACTGGAGGGCAGCTGAAGCAGGACAGGCTGTCTTTTAGGAGCGTGCCATACGAAAGTATGTCTGTATTACCAAACCACCTGGCAATACCACCTATCAGCATGGCTGCCCATCACTTCCCATTATAAAATACATCTTTTAAGTTGCTTATAAACTGTGATACCATAAACCACTTGGATGGAAATTTTCCATTGCAGGTGTTACCTCAGGCTAAATATTTTATAACATGCCTGACAGAACAGTCCAGCGATTTCTAAGAATGAGATTAGTGAAAATAGTTCAGAAAAGAGACCTTGAAAGGTAAGAGGCACTGTATATAGTTCTCTAAACACATCATCTCAATGTGCAGTGGCAACCAAAAAACCTAATGAAATGTTATAACAGGAGTGGAGTCACCATGATGGTCGGGTTGGGGTCATCAGGAAGGGCACCTGAAGCCTAAAAATTCATCCAAAAGCACTCCTGAATGCACAGATACTGCTAACAATCCATGGCTCTAATAAAATACTGGGCATTATTAAGAAGGGAACTGAAAACAAAACGAAAAATATGGGACATTATACAATTTTGTGGCGAGGCCACATCTTGAATGCTGCGTGCAGTTCTGGCCTCCACATCTCAAAAAAGGCGTAGTAGATACAATCAGAAAAGGTACAAAGAAGGGCAACCAAAATGATTAGCAGTATCAAGCAGCTGCCGTAAGAGGAGAATTAAACAGCTCTTCAGTTTGGAAAGGAGAAGGCTGATGGGGGATATAATTGAGGTCTTTAAGGTCATGAAGGATATGGACAAAGTGAATAGGGAATGTGGCTCTTATTGACCAAGTCCCAGAATACTAGAACTAGGGAGCAGCGACTGAAATTACCAGCAGAGAGGTTTGAAATTAAGAAACAAA